GAGTTTCTTTGTCCTCTTTTAAAACAAATTTAAAACATTTATTATTTGATGTAGATGCCAATGCCTCACAGTATTTTACGTTTATGTAGCTTAATTATACAAAGGGCATTTAGCCCGTTTATATTGTTAATAAATAAATAAATAAAACAAAAATTTCTTTAAGGTAAGTGATAATTTTGGGAAACTGACGATGATATATGTTAGTTTATACCTCCTACTGACAAAAAAATTTTAAAATTTAAAAAAAAATTTTGTGTGTAAGATATTAAGCTAAAAAAGTGTGGCCCACAATTTCCCAATCTTACTTTTACTTATTTTTTTAAGTATTAGTTATAATTTTTTTACTAAAGTTTTAGCCTATAAAATGAATAGAAATTAGTAAAAAAAAAATTTACTAAGATGAGTAAGTAGCTCCATTTTCTTCCGATTTAGAAAGACAAGTATTATTTTACAATCGTTTCGCAATTAAAATCATGTATTATTAACTATTTAATTGTAATTAAATTGTTTGTTTAAATACTCAGTCATAATATTTTTCGTTTTTTTATTTTAAAAACTTGGTTTTAGTTTCCATGTTTAGAAAGTTGAAAGGTTTAAAGCAGAAGGTGGTAGGTAATGTCTCTAGGACAACACAAAGTTGATAAGTTCATTCCACGACTCTTGTCTTAGCAAACAAGTTTTTGTCGAAGCCAAAACAACGATAATTTAGCTACAGATGACAACTGTTCTTAATAAACTTTTTGGTGAGAGGACTTTAGAATAGTTATAATTTTGTTTTTCTTTTTTGTGATGCGCCACATTCTGCGTCATAAATAATATTCTGTCATATGAAGCAATTGTTTTATCCTGAGATTAAAATTAAATAACAGCCGTTATACTAAATTAAATTTAGTATTTATGCTAAATTTAGTAAAACAACAGTAGTCGTACTAAATTATATTGCGGAATAATTAAAAAAATTATAGTTTAAAATAATTTATATGATTGACAGAACCGTTCCTTTTGTTGCATATGCGAAATCCAAAGCGCGATATGAAATGTCGGCGATAGTCTGATTGTTAATTATATACATACCTTCTATCTCGAACAACATAACTTCAAATCTACAAATTCCATTGATAATTCCAACAATCGTACAATACCTTGGCGCTATTGAAATTATTAAAACATTTCTCTCATTGATTAACGGACAGGGTTTGCTTACACATTCCTTTTCCGTTCGGAACTTCAAATTACTCCCGCGATTGATTATATCATTATCGAAGACAATTTCTTAATAACATTTTCAAATAATATCTAGTGAGTAACTTTTATATTTTTAGAATGAAAAATGAAAAAGCTTTTTTAATAAAATAACTAATATGTTATTTATTTACAAATGGAATATAAATATATATTTTCCTTTTATATACATAAATGTACATGGGTTTTCTAGATTTTTCGTCATATCGAATAACGTTGTTCTAATTTATTTTCTTTTACCGGTTTTGCTTTCAAATATAGAAAATCTATTTCCAATATAGTATGATTACTTTTTGTATTTATTTTAAGAAATAAAAGTATAATAATAATCCACTACAATTGTGAAGAACCTTAATTCGAAAAAAATAAGGAAAATTTTTTGCAATTATGTTGGTGAGAAAGTGGAATGAAAGTTTAGTAATAATAATAGATTACTTTGTTGATCACAACCAATTTCTTTGGAGTAAGAAAAGGTGCGTAACGTAATGTACTTTTACTGTTCTTTTTATGTTACTACACTTTCTTTATAGAGGTGTACACCTGTCATTGATCCAAAAGAACCTTCATACAATGGCCATTACCAGCTTGTAGTAATACTGCCAGATGGCCAACAACAACTTTTAAAATGAAGTATATATGTTTCTTCTATCAGAGAACAATAATGTCTCATGTTTCCTACTCTAAACCTAGTAATTCTACTCTGTTTAATATCAAATTATTTTATTTCGAGATGAAAATAATTCCATTTCGTTTATAGAAATTAATTGATATTTGGGAAAATTATATAAATATCAATTCTTGCGATGAATTTTACTGCTTATAAAAATAATTCAATTTTTATTAATTATTAATCATATACAATCTATGTTCGAATTGAAAGAAACTCAATGTCTTTCGTTAGAAAGTTATTAAAAAAGTTTTTTTTACGCAGTCATTTTAAAGCCACAATTTGAAAATTCAACTGGCATAGGGATTTTGCACCTAATTATACTCAGAGGAAAGAGCTTGTGAAAACTTTCTCGGAACTTGAATGAATAGCAGCTAATTGTGATTAATTTCATATTGTCTGGCATTTCATCTGAATTTATCACTGTCCGAAGAGAGTATATACCAGAAAATGAAATTTTTCTCGTCTTTAAGATTCATTTTCCTAAAATTTTTCGAATAAATGTAAATTCTTTTTTTCATCTGCATTCTATATATATATATATATATATATATATATTGTGGGAGAAATTAAATTAAGAGGAAAAGAAAAGAGTTAAATTAACAAACATTTATCTCTATTATGTAATAGAAGATTTTATACACGTATGAAAAGTGATGAAAAATGAGCTGCGAGAGGGAAGAATGTAAAATAAATAAACTATATTAATTCCATTAAATTTTCATAAATAAGTATAATGTGTATTCGCAAATACTAGAAATAAAAAAACTATTCTTAAAAATTATAATCAAATTCTTTAAAAAGATTCAATTATTTTAAAAAAATATTCGAAATCCAATTATTTTCAATATCTAGTAAAGTAAAGTAAACCTACTTCCCGAGTACAACCGGTTTATTGACGTCGAGTCATGAATGTACATTTGGATAGCCATCACAAATGCACAAGCATAGCCTCAGACGTCAAACCTCCCGTTTGATATATCTCGATCAGCGAAAAACACCGAGACTGTAGCGATTCACAGAGGGTCACCCATCCAAGTACTAACCGTGCTCAAATGTGCTTAATCTCCGTGATCGCAAGCCACGGGATTCCGCCAACCGAGCTATACCATCGGTTCCAATATCTAGTATTTTCATGAAATTTCGCAAAACAATTCAATTATTTAAAAAGCATTGATAAAATTTATCAAAAATTCAATTATTTTCATAAATAATAAAATTTCCACAGAAATTCTATGAATTTAGAATAGCATTTCCAAAAAAATTTCGAAAAAATAAATTATTTAACCAAATTTTTATATAAGTGAGAAAAACCACCCTAGGACTGCCTGGGACCTCTTTAAGTGAGAGTTTCTGTTACCACTTAATAAACCTCTATAAGCGAGAAAATCTGCTATCGGACCTCTATAAGCGAGAGTCTTGACGGTATATTTCAAAACTTTTATTAAACTATTGTGACTAATGAATTTTCAGCGACAAAGCGAAATTTTGATATAAAAAATACTAAATTTTAAAAAAATTTATGTGAAATTTGGTATAATTATATCAAATATTCAGAATATTAATTAAATTCTAATATAACTTTACTAAATTTCACATCACTTTTTTTAAAGTTTAGTATTTTTTATATCAAAATTTCGCTTTGTTGCACTTTTTCCCCAATTTGCAAAATACTTTTACAAAATTTAATATATGGGTGATTCTCCGCGTAGCGCACAATTTAATGTCCCTCATGTTTTTTAAGAAATCAGTTTCATATATTCTAATAAATTCAACGTGGATAACTTATTTCCATGATAACAAATAACAGTCTATTGTCGTTTTCATTTAAAAGTTTATAATTTTACTTAAAAATCTGTTTTAAGGTGCCAAAACGCCATGGTGTAATCAGTCCCCACTACCATTTCATAAATAAAATGTTATTTTTTTAGTAAAATATAATAATAAATATAATGAATATTGAAATTTTCTTATTGTCTAAATTAGTAGAATTGAGAAAAACAAAACACTTATGGAAAAAAAAAATTATTTTTTAATATTTCTGTAGATATTTCTTGTCCCCTGTTTTCGCGTCATGGTATCATCACTTTGTAAAATTGCCTAATTTACATAAAAAATCAAATCGAAAAATTACTTAACATTAATAAAAAGCATTAATAAACTCTCCTAAGTAAACTACTAAAAAAGAAATTAATAAAAAAATTTATTTTTCTGTTTTATATGTGTTACAAGCATGAAAGTTGCATAGGGAATCACAGAATCGTCATGGTCGAATCATAATATATTTGCAATAAAATGAATAATTATTCATATTTTACCTCAAAACAAGTTTAGTAGTATAAAGTAAGTGAAAACAAAATACGTGGAAAAAAAATTTTTTTAAATCGATAATAATTTGCTTAAAAAATTAGTTTTTCTTGTGCGTCATGGTCGAATCAGAGCGTCATGGTGTAATCAATTTTACATGGGTGTTTATTTTGTCTGGCCCACCACGAATATTTCGTTCTTGAATATTGAACTTTAAAATTCTATATCGACTTTTACTTAATTTGAAAAAAAATTTTCAAAAATAGTAAAATCAAAATTGTGCGCTACGCGGAGAATCACCCATATATTCTCTTTCCGTGTTTCAATTATTTCTGAAAATTGCAACTTTTCTTGACTAATATTTTAAGAGATAATTGTTGTGAAATAATTATAATTATAATTGTCAAACAAAAAATAATTTAGAAAAAAACTTTTCCTTCAAAACAAAAAAAATAGAAAAGAAAATTTTGCTTTAAATATTTAGTCCATTGGTTTTTAATACTTCACTAAATACTCTGATGGAAGCTCGCTAGCCTATCGAAAGGTGCTTTCGCCCCTGTAGAATGATTACATTATAAAATTATAATTTTTCCACTAAAAACTAACAAAATTTCATTCGCCAAGAATAGATTATTTTTTAAGTAGATTCATATAAAAAGTATAAATTTTCCCCCTTTAAATTATAGATTCAACACTAAATAAAATTACCAAATTATTCAAAATTCAAACTTGCGCACGCGTACTTACCTTTAAACTCGCGCACTCTTCTTGCATCGCTTGATAAATTTGATTGGCTCCTCGTACTCAATAAAATATTTTGTTTAAAAAAAAAGAAATTTATCATATCTTAATTATCAAATTGTGAGTGTTTTGCAAGTAGAGAAAGAAAAATGTTGAATAAACATAAAAATCTCGTCTTCTCATTACATAAACGGCATTGGATTCAGAAGTATAAATATCCACATCTATTTAATTCACTATGTTTCGGAATCTTTGGTTAGTTGCGCACATCATCAGTTTACTTATTGTCATTCATCAAATATTTTCTATACAAATTGTCGAATTTCCACCTGAAATCATGACGCAAAGAATGGATTCTGTAGAAATACATGATTTAGAGGATATCAAAACACCCATTGGAGTACCATTATCGGGAAAATATAAACGGTAAAGTTATCTTCTTTTTTAACCTCTCTACATAACCTCTCTACATAATGTCGAATTTTATACAAATTTTAATTACAGACAGATATTCTTTTCGTATAGAAATGAAAATTAATATTTATGTACTTTATATATAGAAAATAATTTAGAAAATTAAAATTTATATATAATTATATATGTTAATAATTACATATTATTATGTAAATAATAATTGACATGTAATTTTTATTTACAGGAGTTTTGGATATGAGACAATAAAAGATAGACTACCAGTAATTGTGACGAGAATTATCGATACAATGAGTCGTGATAAAGAAGAAATGATTAGCAAATATGGAGATGTTGGTATTTTTGATTTAAAATAAATAAGAATTTTTGCCATTTCTAAGTAATGAATGATATTTTACAGGGAACAGCTGAAGAAATTAAACACATAATTGGTTGTATTAGTAAAATGAAGAATGAAATGGTGACGAATAAAGAGTTAAAACCACTAACATTATTGTCTGAAAATGATGAGGATGGAATAATTTGGAATAAATTCCTCGAAGAACGAACTGAAATTGAGGGAAAAACGCCTACTTGGTACAATACAATCTGGATATATTGCGAATGCTACTTGTACCGAAGAATTTACCAGGAACTCGCCCTTACGTATGTTAATTTTTATCCTACACTTATCCTACTTTTTTACCATTTTTAATCCCAAATTTTTCCCTTACATTCCAATATTTAATCTAGCATTATATTAATTTGCTGCTGTTTTCAGAAAACATCTCAAAACTTATGATCCTTTCGAAAAGCAAAAAGTGACAGCTTTTAATAATTCACTGAGCAGCATTAATATTGTAAGTGAATTTGTCATGGACCTAATAAACAAAGGCAATAAACTCACTCCAGCAGAGCGTGAAAATGGGTTCATTCAACTTTTAAAGATCAATCTCTGGGGAAACAAGTAATAATAAACATTTATACTCAAGTTTTCAATTTCCATTTGTAGACAGAATGAGTAACAGGAGAATTATTTCACAGGTGTGATTTATCCTTGTCTGGAGGTGCAGAATGTAGCGCAAGTGGAAATCCACTTGATTTTGTAGATACTTTTCAAAAAGATCTTCTTGTTGATGATTCACAACTAATATGGGACCTGTTAAGTAAAAACACTACCGGCATTGTTGATATTGTTTTAGACAATGCAGGTTACGAATTATTCACTGACTTGACATTTGCTGCATTTATAACGTCACAGAAATTCACGACCAAAATACGATTCTACGTAAAACGGTATCCATGGTATGTGAGTGATGTTACGGTAAATGATTTTCATTGGACAATTGAAACAATGAAGAATTCTTCAAATGAAATTTTGAAATCTTTGGGCGAAATATGCCATGACTATTTGGCAAAAGGAGTCTGGACTATAGAGGTAAATTAACATTTCTTTATTATTTAATTTTGCTTTTTTCCCTGATTTCCAAACAAAACTTTGACTTTTTCCCTGATTCTAAAGACTATTCTGATTCAGTCTACAAATTATTAGATACTCAAAAAAAATTTTTCTTAGATTTATTTACGAATCTCTTTAATTATTAATTATTATTTAAATATTTATTCATTATTATTTTTCCATAGGAATTAAGATTTTTTAAAATTACAAATTCAAACCTTTTTGGAATTCAACAACTTATACAAGAATATTATTATAAAACATGAAAAAATCGATCACTCTGAGTCGAAGACTCGGAGTTATCGATTTCTTCATGTTTTATAATATTTAAAAGATAACCAAATGATAAAATCATTAATTTATATTATAAAAATAATGTTACTGTAACTACTTCGAAATTATTTTCATCATTTTCATTCAATTACTATTTTCTAGAATATTTTCAAATCCATTTGTTTACAATTCAATTTTGCCGAATTTCGATTTTTCGGAAATTCTTCAACTAATATATATTAGAAAATAAAACCTTTAAATAATTTCAACAAAAATTCAATTAAACTTTTTCAAAAAAAAATTATTTCTACGGAATTATCAGTAAAAATGATGAAAAATTCAAATTGTCAAAGATTTTCATTTGAAACCATTTCAAAATTCAATTCTTTCTAAAAATTCAAGCTATAATGCTTCTTTCGACGAATTTTAATAAAATTTTCGAAAATAATTATATTTTTCGTGGAATTTGATTACAATTGTAGCGATGAGTTTTATTATTTATAAAAATAATTGAAACCCTGTAAAAAATTTTATTATTTATGAAAATAATGAAATTATTGCGAGAAATTTATAAAAACAATTGTAAATAATTGAATTCTTGTAAAAATTTTTATTACTTATGAAAATAATTAAATGTTTGCCTAGAATTTTATTAAAATATTTGAAAATAATTGAATTTCGGAGAAGAATTTTATTATTTAGAAAGATAATTGAAATTTTGATGAGAATTTGAAAAAATTTTTGAACATAATTCAAGTAGAGTTGATCTACAGTTTAGATAGTTAAGTGTCAATACTTCGCATATTGTCAATTTGATTGAATACCGTATATTAAGTACTTATGTACGAAAGGGCACTGCCCGTAAATTTGTAAAATAAATAAATAAATAATTGAAATTTTGTCAAGAATTTATTCAAATTTTTGAAAATAATTGAAACTTTGCCAAGAATTTTATTAAAATTTTTTAAAATAATTGAATTTCGGAGAAGAATTTTATTATTTAAAAAGACTATTGAAATTTAGACGAGAAATTAAAAAAATTTTCGAACATAATTGAAATTTTGCCAAAAATTTTTTAAAAAATTTTTGAAAATAATTGAATTTCGGAGAAGAATTTTATTATTTAAAAAAACTATTGAAATTTAGACGAGAATTTTTAAAAATTTTCGAACATAATTGAAATTTTGCCAAAAATTTTATTAAAATTTTTGAAAATAATTGAATTTGGGAGAAGAATTTTATTATTTAAATTTAAAAAGACTATTGAAAATTAGACGAGAATAAAATTTATTAAAATTTTTGAAAATAATTTAAATTTTAACAAGAATTTTATTAAAATTTTTGAAAATATGTAATTAAATTTTGGAGACGAATTTTATTATTTAGAAAGACAATCGAAATTTTGACGAGAATGTAATAAACAATTGATTAATTGTTTGCTATTTTTTCTCTAGATGGAAAATTTCTGGACCGAACCCTATACATTTGATGAAATAAAAAAGCGGGATCCTACTCTTTATGCAAAATTTTCTGAAGCCGTTTTGGTAATTTTCAAGGGCGACTTAAATTATCGAAAACTTGTAGGCGATATTAATTGGGAGTACACAACAGATTTCGTTCAAGCCTTACAGGAATTTGAACCCACAAATATTGCAAGTTTACGCACAATCAAATGCGACGTGTGTGTTGGATTAGCATCTGGTCAAGCGGAAGTTGTAGAAAAAGAGGACAAAGATTGGTTGCACACTGGTAAATATGGATTAATTGAAACAACTCTCGGTAGCAAGTGCAAGTGCAATTAATTTTCGCAAAAAAGTAATTTCATAAGGAAAAATCTAACGGACAGTCCAAACAATTTAGATTCCAACATTTAAAAATATTAAAAGTTGCATTTCAATAAAAATTAGTTTTCTCTCAAGAAGAACGAGATTTGATAAATTTTACATAGTTTCTATCTGAATCGTTCCTTATTCACAGAAAATTGTAATTTTTACTCAAATGCACCTTTAAATTATCGAAAATATTAATAATTTAATTCGACTTTTTCTTTTAAAATACGAAATTACGACATAGGACTAAGTTTTGTTGCGATTCTTCCTTAATCAAAATTGAAAATCTAGCTATTTAGATACAAGTAGATTTTAAATCGAAACTTTTGTATAAATATAAACAAATTTTCATAGATGTGTAAATAATACATTATGATTTGAAAAAGACCAATTTTTCTGTCAATTAACTTAGTCAACTATTCCAAATACAAAAGCATGGATTTGATGCGTGTAATTTAAAGAAGTATAAGTGTGAAGTACTTTTACAACATTTTATTAGATTCGTTTTTAATCTAAAGCTTAATAATAATAATAATAATTTTAATAATAATAATAATAATAATTTTAATAATTTGAATTATAATTTTAATAATAATTTTATTAATAATTATAATTTGAAGGATAATTATGATTATAATAAGAATAAGAATAATTATGATTATGTCATAAGTAACGATTATTTGTAAATATTCTATCTTTCGATATATCTTGCTCTATATTAATGTTTGTACAATTATCTATATAATTTGTATATCAAATGAAAGTAAAATAACATTTGAATTTAACAAAACAGATTATATTCGTTCTTATATTATTTCATAATGTATAATTATTGCATAATTACTCTTTATTTTTAATTATTATTTGACTTTATTAAAAGTCTCTCATACTTTTTTTGTCTTTCTTTATATCTTATACTGTACAGAAAATTTCAAACTACATCTATACATTATATTATAAAATTCACATTTCTTATACACGCTCACACTAAAATGTCTAAAAAAATTACTTCTTTTTCAATATCTTAGAGGTGTAGATGAAAATGAGAATAAGACTCAAAAAAAAAGAATAGAATCTATTGTACAGAAAAAAATGAATGACTTTTTTGATTTTGTATCATCAGTTCTTTTAAGAAATAAAAAAAATGATAAAAATTGTTAACTTGTAATTTTACTTAGGCTTTATCTTAAATGCAAAATTAAGAATTTGAGATCTTAATTCAATATTAATAAGTTATATATAAAACGGCATTCGTTTGACCTTAAAGTTTATGGATTTTTATTTTAAAAATCTAAAATATTAAATACATTTGTATATTAAACACAATAACATTCATAGTAACGGTGATTTAAAATAAACAATGTTATCTGACCAGTCTAATTCTCACTTTTTACACAAAAAAACTTTTTTACTCGCCAAAAGCCATGTTAATTTTTAATTTCTTATTGTAAATTAGATTTAACTTTCAATTTAATGCCCTGTTCTAAATTTCAATTTGACATTAATAAAGATATGTGAAGAATACGATTAAAATTGAATTATCTGACTTTTTGCATTTAATAACTTTATATATTATATATATAAAATAAATGCCTAGTCAGGAAGAATTCCAACTGCAATACTTATCTCTATTTATTAGTTAAATTGTCTATAAATACTGTCAAAATTTTCATTGAGTTAATCTGTCATTTAAATAATAAAACATTTCACTACACAAAACCAAAAATTTCACTTTGGCACTATTATCGTCATAAAAAAAAATTTTTTTAAAATTGCTTGAATCAAAGTAAATACAATTTATTAAAAAAAAGGAAAAAAAATCGAAGACTATAGTGTTATGTGAACATATTTATTGTAATGACATGGTTTTATTGACGAACAAAAAAAATTAAATGAATTAAACAATTTCTATTTAATAAGCTAAATCTAAGTGTAACAATAATATTTTACAATTGTCCAAATTTGTTTAAAAACTGTTTAGTAGACAAAAATATAATGGCATATAAATAAAGTATATACATTAATTCAAGCGTGAAGAAACAAACTGTGAAAAAGAGAATCTTCTATTAGTTTCTTCAGATTATAAACAGAATGATGAATGAACTTTAAAATATTTTCGAAATAATTTTAAAATGACTTATTTTTATATTTGATTTAAAACATTAAAAGTCCATTCTGCACCTCGTTGAATACAAAAAGTTTTTCTTCTTCTAATTCGATGTCTCATGAATAACTGCCATTTATCTTAGCCAACACATAAACATATTCACCTATCGATAAAGAAATAAGAAAAATTCAGCGGCAAGCTCAACAAAATTTATCGAAATTGAAATTTATCATGGCACAGTCACACCAAAATTTTACACTCGAATGATATTCAAAAGCAAGATTGCCAGTATTATCTATTCACATTTTTTTTGTGATTTGAAGCATTAGAATTTGAATTTGAAATTGAAATTGAATTGATTAAAAATTTCTCCTTGACATTTTATAGTGCCTCTCTGTAAATATTTCCTTATACAGATTTAAATTTCTATTATGCATCTGCATTTACTATTTTACTTGCTGGCAACAGTGCCTTAAAGGCAAATTCATTCATTCACTGATTCATTCATCAGGGGACTATTCAGTACAATGTCTTCTTAAATTAGAAAATAGAGGGTGGTCTAATCTAAAAATTTCTTTACAGGAATACAGGTTACTCGATTATTATTTTCTTTAATCGCAGTAAACAAATATCATCGACAAATGTTTCAAGTTTTTTTTCCATTTCAACCTAGTAATAATGAACATTTCATATTCCTAGAGTGAAAATTCCGTGTTACTTGGTAAAGGCAGCAAACACAGCCCAAAGAACAGGTTTTGCATTATTCTTTACAGCTTCTGCTTCAAAATCTAAATCAAGCAGGCATCGTACTCGTTTCATTGCCACCTCATAATCGTCGTCCGATAAGGGAGCAAAAGCATTTTCAAGTACATCTGCTGCATGAGCTAAAATAATTAATGGTAATATTCGTCGATCCATTCGAGAAGCATCATTCACCCAGCGGCTTAAAACTGCTTCTTGAATCTAAATAAAAAACAGACTCATTAACATATCACTAGTCAACTTTTAAAAAATCTGTTATATATCAAACTTTAATGTAATCAATTTTTTTAATTCTTCTTCCTAATTTAATTTTCCATCTAAATAACATTAATAGAGATCACAATGTTTATAATCAACGATTACAATTAATTTAGAGGAAAGAATATTTTTCTATTTAAATGTTTATATACTTTTGTGTGAAGTACATGCTTCGTACTCGATCATTAATTTTTAAAAAGTATCTTTAAAACTGAAAAAAGCAATAAAAAAGTAGATTTGTATATCGAAAAATTAATTTTGACTCCTCAATTTTTTCGTAATTTTTAAACTAAATTACATTCAAAACTAGAATAATTCTATTTAAATAAATATTTAAATACCTATTTATTTTCCCACAGGAATTAAAATATTTTAAATGATTTCAATATAAAGCCTTTTTGAAATTTTTAAATAAAATTATTCAAAAATTTAATTATTTTATTTCAAAATAAAAATTGAAATATTATTACAGTTTTACAATTAAAATTTTCAAATATTTCAATTAAAAAATCTTTGAAAATTGAATTATTTCTAAAAATTCACACTATAACGTTTCTAATATTCGATTATTATCTATAAAATTTTAACTGAATCAATTTAAAATTAATTCTTATTAGCAAGTTCTACCAGAATTCCATTATTTAAATAATACAAAAAGAAATATTTTTTTTAAATACATAATTGAATATTTCTTAAAATTAAATTCTTATAAAGAACTTTATAGAAATTACTTTTAACAATTGAATTCTTTCGAAGAATTTTAATAAAATTTCCAATCATTTTTCAAAGAATTCATTTAAAATTGTATTAAAAATAATTAAAATTAAGTTAAATTAATTAAATAGTTCAATTTCTGTGAAAATTTTATTAATTATGAAAATAATAGATAAAAATAATGAAAAAAATAAAATTTGTAAAAATACTACGAGCAATTTAATTAAAATTGTACTGAAAATATTGATTTCTTCTAAAGAGTTTATCACAATTTTTAAAAATTAGTGAATTCTATGAACAAATTTTGGTAAACTTTTCAAAAATAATTAAATTCCAACAATTATTTTTAATTTAATTTAATTTGATAACAAGAAATTTTATTCAAATTGTATAAAAAATATGAAAATATTATGAAAATAATTGATTCTTATGACGAATTTTATTAAAAATAATTTAATTTCGACAAATTTTCGAAAGTAGTTAAATGTTTACGAGGAGTTCTATTAAACATTTTTTAAAAGTTCATAATTGAATTGTTACGAAGAATTTCGTTATAATTTTTGAAGATAATTATTAAATTCTAATAAACAAATTATAACAATTTTTAAAATAATTCAAATCTTTTGGCGAATTTTAATAAAATTTTTAATAATAATTGCATTTTTCAAGGAATTAATTTAAAATTGTATTAAAAATAATTGAAATCCTTTGATGAGTTTTATTAGTTATGAAAATAATTGAATTTTTGCAACGAATTTTATTAAAACGTTTAAAAATAATTGAATTCCAGTGAAAATTTGATTATTTATGAAAACAAAAATTTTCTTGTTTTCGGCGTAAAAAAATTTTTTCTTTGAATCGTTGATTATAAACGTTGTGAACTTCGCCGACGTTCTAAATAGACATTAATAATTTTAAATGTGTAAAAATGGTACTATTTGAAAATAACTTTCTTATTGCTATAATACCTTTTTAACAAGTCGCGTTTTAGCGAGATTGTCTGTTAGAGGATGAGTTGTCATATCGAAAAGGAGAAAGTTTTGTTTTTCAGTAGTAAGGACTCCTTTTTCTACTAAATTTTTTGCTAACCTTTCTCTCACATTCTTTAATTGATATTTCAACTTTAGAGGATTCCATGTTTCCCCTTAAAAAAAGCAGGAATTAAAATTATATTGCATTTGAATAAATACAAAGCTTCCTCGTAAGGAAGAAATAAAAATTACAATATATATTACAAAAAATTTTTTTAAAATCATTAAAGTAAAAAATTAAATAATGTCGAAAATGTAGTACTTAAATAATTATTTAAAAATACTAAATGAGTAAAGTCAAAGACTAACCACTGAGATATTCGATCCAACTCTGCACAGTTTCAGGTGGATCAGTTTCTTTTACGTGTTTCAAAGCCTCATCTAGCAAAACGTCTCCAGTTGGATCACTATTTTTTAAGACAAGCTTCCGAGATAGTAATCCTCTCTTTCGCATTCCTGCTTTTTCTAATTCTACTCGACCTCGAAGTCCTAATTCTGCCAAAATACAGCCACGAAGTCCGGAGCTTATACAATCATTCCAAAACGACGTATATCCCTATAAGAAACAATTTTTTTCTTTATTTCTCAATCAATTTAATAAAACAATAAAAACAAATGCCAGTGGTTAAATGCAAACTTACGAGATAAAAAGAATCATATTTGATTATTTGGAGAGTTTTCAGTGATAAGAAAACAGGAAGTCGAAAATGAAAAGCCACAAGGTTAATCGATGCTCAAGCTCACTAATATGTTCAAAACCACTTCACAAAATAAAATTATGTACCATTAGGTACATAAAAAAAAAAATACATGAAATAGTGAAAAAAGCCTTATGCGCAATTTTATATAGAAAAAGATGTGAATATAAATAAGAATGTATGAAGATTCTTCGATCTTGAAAGTGAAAGTGAATAGCTCAAGGTTTAATGACAGAATTATAGACATTAACCATATAGAGAATATATTTAATAAAAAGTTTCTTTTGTTTAAAAAATAAAACATTTTTTCAATATGAATTTATGTTTTCGTTTTCAATAAAAAAATAATCGAGTTTATGAATAATGATAAAGATTATTTACAACAGTTCATGCAACTACTTATCTAAAGTAAAATATGAAACTACTTGAATTGATTTATTTTTAATCCACTTCTGTATGCATAGACATGTAACTTAAAAATCCCAGCAATTATAACTACATATGCAAATGAATATAAGAAAAAAAATTTTTTATTTCATTGATAAAGTTTAACGACTACAATTAAAATTTTCTCTTATACAGTTACTAATACACAATTGCATGCATCGAGATTTTTAAAGATGATACGACTAAATGACTGACGCGAAATGACTTTTAACAGTCGTACACCAGTAGGAATGTAAATGAATGTGTAATCGATAAAAAAAATTGTTAAGGACTATATGATATTAAGTTATCAGACAAAATCTACTGAATGATGATGTGTTTTATTACATTCAAGGTGCAAACTACCAAGAATTGAATAATTTATCTTCCACAATTATTTAAGTTTTTTGCAATTCTATTTTGCCTCAAACATAGTTTAAATTACATTCTTTATTTTGCGAAATAATTATTTAGTTCTTGAAATTGACTTTTTTAACGATAATCGATAGAAAAGATTCTATTTTTACTTAATTTATATGGGACACGTGCGTTTCTACCCCAAAAAATAGTGTTTATGTTATGTAATACAAATAAAGTGCTTAATACGGTAAATTGTACCAATTTTCAGTCGTCAAATATTTTTAATTTATCTATATCACTTTATGCGTTAAAATATTAACGGTATATTGACACGATAAAACTGACACTCAATTTTTTTCCTGAAAATTATTTCCCGTATTCGTAAGCGGAAAATATGGAGTAAAAAATATTAATCATCAGAACGAGTATTTCAAGAACGAAAAACGAATTTAGTACTTGAGAATTTGACAATTAAATTTTAAATATATTACAATTTTTAATTTATAAACATTTTTGTATGTACTTGGATTTTTTATATAAAGATTTCCCACTGAACTGATATTTTGAAAAGTCAAACATAATTTTAGAATAACAATTTAAATAAAAATTTTAAAAGCACACAATAGTACATTCCGGAAGTGGAAAATGATAACAAACCTCCTTATCTTTGAGTCCTAATAGTAGAACTTCTTCCATAAGTGTTAATCTAGTTTCCTTATCAGAATCCTCGTCGATGGTGGGATTTGAATTAAGGTCATTTTGAGAGGAGCTGTCTGCATCCATATTATGACCTGACACCTTATCAGGATGTCCTCCGGCTTCATTGGAGCCATCCTGATCGGGACAACTACTATTCACTACTCTACGTCGTTGAACAAGACCGTCGCCACGATACATGACGCAAAAATACGTATTTTACTCACACGCAAAATTACCACGCCTTTATCAATAGCACCGAAACTAAATTGAATCGTTATTAAGAAATATACAATACATGTGTCGCGAGATAAACACTATTCTGTTGACGTCTGTTCACACTACTCGACATATCTTTTTCAAGATGGCCAGATCACTTCCCACAACTGTATTCTTTTTCACAACACCACAGAATCACTCGCGGGTAAAATTGCTTCAGGAAACAAAATCAATATGGAAGGTAGACTATGGATAAAGTGTCAGCAATTGTTTAGCACAAGAGAAATTTTTAATCCACAATAAGTCAATATTGAAATATCTTAAAATGTCTCTCCGAAAAAACCACTCAACACCACCACGACAGATCGCGAACAAGCCTGAAGTTCGTTCTGAGTCAGTCCAGCGATCTCTCGCAAGATGGAGCGCCAACTTCACGGTATTGCCACGTTTACAAATAAAATTGATAAGTAAATGTTATTAAAATGCTATGAAATTACACGAAACAAAATCTTATTAGTTAAATAGCTATTAAATATTATCGATCACTTTTTAATGACTTTGTACAACATATTCTAAATTAAAGAAAATATTATGAGGAAGCAAAGAAAGACTCATACTTAAAAGCGCGGGACATGAATATTTTTAAATTTAAATTTAAATTGCTGTCACTAAATTAATAATATTTGTTTTTGAAAGATATAAAAGTGATTAAGAGTGTTTGTAATCATACCTATATTTTTTATGGGTACTAAATTATTTATCTAGAAAAAAGTTTAAAAATTCTATCAATTTTGGAGAGAATCACGTGACTCTTTCTACTTCTTTCTTAAAACGGGCGGGAAATTTAAAACTCTTTTTATTATTTTTTTTGTTAATTTACATTACAAATTATCGTGTAATACGCACTCTATTTTTTGCCTTTTTAAAAATAATTTTGTAAATTACATCAAAGACACTACTAAAAAATTGTAACTAATAAATTATTAAATAATCTCATTATAAATAAAAATTATAAATAAAACAATATTGAAATTAAAAAATATATGGACAATTGAAATATGAAAGTATTTTTTTTAAATAATACTTTGATTACTTTGATTAATTTACCTAGTTTATTATTTTTTTATTTTTTTTAGCTCTTATTTAGTTCATTATTATTTTTTTGATTTTGTATTTTTTTGTAATTTTTTTATTGTTGTCTTATATTTATATTTTTATATACAACATGTTATTATATTTATTTACTAATATTTTATTAACATAATTGAATAAATTAATAAACAAAAATATTTCGTAAAAATAATTTTCAATTCCTATAAACAATTGTAACTTTTATATAACGATTAAAAGTAATTTTTTTTACAATTATAATTTTCTTACAATGGAACAAGTTAATTGCTTTTGAAAATAAGAAAATATAAAGTAAAGCGGAGTTCATTAGGTCACAGACAAGTATTTAAGAAAAAATTGTGAAAAACTGGAAATTTTACTTTCTCCTGTTGAAAACATGAATTATTCTTGGTATCTAAATTGCTGAATGTTCCTTTCTAATTAGTATTCATCTTTACAATGAAGATGATTTTAATTATAATTCTTGTAAAGAAGAACCATTTTACTTTTTCAAAAATTTAACAAATATTTCGTAATTAGAGTAATTGTTGGATTGTTTTTTCTATTTAATTGTAGTAAATGAAAAGGAGTTAAAAATGAGATTTTACTTTCATCAGACTAATTATTGGTATAAAAAATATTTTTTTAATTATACTGTAAAAAAAATCAGCTATTATATTTTTGATAATATTTTATTTTTTTCAAGATGGACTTGAATTTAATATAATAATTTATTAATTGATTGAAAAAAAATGAAATTTACTGAAAAAAATTTATTTGATTCAAATAAACGATCACTTGTCTATTGTCAAATAAATATTTACTTGAATCAAATAATTTTTATCTTGATTTAAATAAACACTTTTTGAAATAAAAATTATTTAAGTAAATATTTATTTGATATTAGACAAGTAATCTGTTAATTAAATAATAATAAATAATAATAATCAATCAATAAAACAATTTTTTTCAGTGCGTATATTTTGATAATTTAATATTATAATTTACTCTCCAAATTTGAATTAGTAAAAAATTTAGAGAGTAATACTAAAATTAACATTGTTCTTTAATATTATAGTTTAATATTATGTGGTTTAATATTAAAATTTTTATAAATTTCTGTAATGAAAATAAAAAATTTAATATTTAACTTCTCCCGAGTAAAGAAATATTTGGAGTAACGAAATTGCGTTAAAAATATGTGCGTCTACCATTTTTTGTGCCGTTGTGCAAAAGTGATGGTTTTAAGAAATTTTTTATTATCATTCATCAAGAAAGTCAAATTACAGCTTTTATTTCTACGAGAAACATTCATTTTATGCGTTTAAGTGCATGTTCATATTTTTAAAGTACCAATATATGTGAAGTAAATGCATTCTTTGTCGATGCGTGACAAAGGTCCCACGTTTGCCCGGTGTAACTGTTTCATGAAACCGATTTAAAAAAACAAGTAGGTAAGAGAGTGAACTTAGACTTTGCGCACAATTCGATTCAGCAGATGCATTTATTCACCAGGGCCACAAACCGTATCAATGAGGGTTTAAAACGTTAAACTGTTAATCCAATAACATTAAAACCATAGAGACAAAATATTTAACGTTTTCTTATTTTTTTATTTTTATTTTATTTTTTGTTTATTTTTATATTTACGTTTATTTTGACGCAAAAAATACTTTTTACAAAACAGTAGTGAAAAAAATAGTATACCGTTACTAAAATTTATAACGACTGATTATAGTTCCTTTCTTTTAATTGAAATAGCTTTTTAATTTAAATTTTTAAATAATTGTATTATTTATACAACTGTCAGTGACTTGACAACGCACTAAGTTAATGAACTTATTGTAGTATGATAAAAGTGTTCTCAAATTCTTTGTAAAACTGTTATCATAAAATTTGTTGGAGTCATTGAAAATGTGATAAATTCTATATATATATATATATCGAACAAAATTCAGGAACGATTTTATTTTATTTTTTTTTATTAATTATTTAGAAGTTATCTAGTTTTCATGACCGGTGGATATTAATCGATGAAAATTGATTTAATAAGAGTTTGCAAAAGATTTAGACCAATGGAAAAAAAGTCCTTGATACTTTAAACAATTTACAAGTCTCGAGGACAAGAACGTGTTAGTTTGATAATAATGTACTATCCTCTGTCAGGGTTAATGACTGAATCAATGTTTATGCAAATAGAAGCACAAAATTAACATTTCCCAGTAAATTGTCACTTCCTGGTTTTATTTCCTATACACAGGTATATATATATATATATATATATATATATATATATATGCTATTTTGTTTTAATAGCATACCACACAAGTAAGATTCGCTATAATTTTAATCAGCGAATTTTCATTCTATATTTAAGGGACGATAATTAGTATAAGGTGATATTTATTAAGACAGTTAAGAAATTAACTTAATTTTATTAAGAAAGATTTAGCTAGTTCTTAGTTTTATTCGAAACAAATAAATTTTATTAATTATTACTTATTAATATTTAAATTAATAAGTACTAGTGCACTAATCTATACCTAATGTACTTTCATCCATTGTTGGATAAAAATCTTTGTTCAAACAATATAAAAAATATTTTCCAAGAAGAAATGTATAATAAAGTTTTCATAATTCATTGTCAGACAAAAGAGACTTAATTTAAATCTATAATTAACTAATAGTAATAAACGATAAAATTAAATTACAAGAATTTACTCTAACATCTGCGCGAAAAGTATATATCCTTCAATTTTCAACTATATTTCCTCTAAATCGTAAAATTAAATATTAATGTTTAATATATATTATATATGTTTTAACTTTTAACACAGTAAAAATGTCTTCCATGAAAAGTCAAAGAAAATAAAAGCCATACTGTTTCAGAATGCAAGAAGTATTTAATATGGTATTTAAACATTTTATAGTTACAATTATCAACTAATTATTTTCACGTTTATATACTTTCTTAAGAAGGATATATATAATAATGTACTCTTGTTTGTCTCGTTTCGTAACAAAAACTGTATAAAACATACTCTGAATGATGTTAATAAAAGTTAATTTTTAATCAACACTGAACTTTAGTGAATTTTTTATTCTTTTGTTTATAATTGTAGCAAATAACTATTAACTTAAAACTTTGTATTCAGTTTTATTATTTTTATACAAAATTTTATTTTACTATTTTTATAAATTTTTATAACATATTTATTACTTTACTGAAAAAAATTTATTTTATTCAAATAACCGATTTATTTATAAATCAAATAAATCTTTATAAATAAGATCAGACTTTTGTTTGTACATTGCATAGAATTTGAAAATTCATGTTAAGTTTTTCTATTCGAGTAGTAAGAATTCCAAAAATGACAATAAAAAAATTATGTATGTATATATGTATGTGTGTAATAACTTTACTTATTGCATTTAAAATTTTACAAGTGGTAATTTTTTAATAATTTTTTTTTAAATAATTTTTTAATATAATAATTTAATAATATTTTAATAAGAACCAAATTATTGTTGAGATTAAAGTTTAAATTTTGTTTATAATTTTAATTTGTTTAAATAATTTATTATTTGCAAAATTAGACAATTATGTTAAATTATTATTATTAAATTTAATAAAAATAAAAAATGAACAACTAAAAAGTAAAATATTTATTTTTTTAATAAATTTATATTTATAAACATTCATAAACTTTTTTAATAATTTTTTTCAAGTTTATGTCAAAAAAGCAATGTTGGCAAAGAGCGTTGTGAACAATTTTTCTATACTCAGCCAGCACTTGCCGCCGTGGCTTGTCCAAGCTTTGGCGAAACAAAAATTCTGTACTGCGCCAGCACTAATTGTCGAGGCTCGGCTAGACTACGGCCGAACAATCGTCTGAGTACTAAGCCAGTGGTGAACATCGGCACTACAATGGCATTTCCCATAGGGTATTTGTTATTTAAATCAAATACATTCTATTTAGTATAATTTTTATTTATTTGTTCATTTATTATTTATTTTTTATTTAATAAATAATAATAATTTGACTTAAATATATTTTTTTCAGTATAACTGTTATTCATTTGTTCATTTAATAATTAATTTATTATTTATTTTTTATTATTCAATAAATAATAATAATTGCCTTCAGATTATTTATTTACGCAATTACAAAAAAAGGTTCAATAAACAAATATCAAATAGTAATAATAAAAAAAGTAAATAATTATTTTATTATTATTCTGCTATTATTTTTAAATGAAAATAATATTTACAATAA